GAATTTTGGCCCACTCATCTTTGCAGAATTGTTGTAATTCAGCCACATTGGAGGGTTTTCGAGCCTTAACCGCTTTTTTAAGATCATGCCACAACGTCTCAATCGGATTTGTTTGATGATCTGAAACATTTCAGTGTGACAAACAAAAAGAAATCAGGAAGGGGGCAAACACTTTTTCACATCACTGTACATTCTCTCCCTTTCTTTCCCTCACATATGTCTTTTGCATCCCTATACCCCATCTCCACCTCTGCAGTTCTCCCTCGGTCAGTCCTCACTCTGCATGGAGGTCCTAGCCTCCTTGTCGTATAGCCAGGAGGTAAGCTCTCAGACAAGCGAGTTAAGCCGAATATATAATGATTATAACACTCAATAAATCTTTCAATGTGCTTAATTCTTGAGTGTTATTACTAATGAATATATCTTACACATACAAATTTCTCATTCTTATTGTTTTCCCTCAGTAATCTCAAATACTTAAAAAAATATATGAAATAAATAAAATGAAATAGCATTACATTGCATGAAGTTGTCGTCTTATTAAACTGAAATAATCAGGCTTTGCAAATCAAATAGCTAGGCCTTGACTCACATACAGTATGCTACGCACAGTAACATACTGAGAAAATGTTACTAACAGGAGCACATGATACAAACAGGAAAGGAGGAACAAAAGGGAACCAGAAGGTAGACCACAGGATGCACTTGACTGGGTTCTCCAGGATAAGATAACAAACAGTAAAAACAACTGTTAGAATGAATAGCCTTTTGTAAAATGAGTAAACATTGTGACTTAAAAAAGGTGTACCTGAGCAGCTGCGTCTGGTTTGGAATTTTGAGGCATAAGTTTAATGGGACCTTGTCGCTGATATTCTCTCTCTCTAGAGAGTGAATAAAGCTGGTTCTCAAGTTTCTGATTCTTGGTGTGGATTCTAAAGCCATTAGAAAATAGTAGTATCTAATGAAATACAAAAGTATAAAGATATTGTACAAAAAATGGTTTATGTCAAGGGTATGATATACCCATGTCCTAGAAGAGGAATATACTTTGCAGGCAGTTAAAGACATAACACATTACACATTACCACAATAATATACATTTACCTCTGTATGGTGCCTCAGTCAAGTTTTTGATATTAACCAAACATTCAACCTTGAAGACTAAGGAGCTTTAAAGGCAACTCAGGGATAAAGTTGTATTAAGACACAGATCAGGAGAAGGGCATAAAACATTTGAAAGAATCTTAATATCTCTTTGATTATGGTGAATGCAATCAGAATTGTCACGATTGCTAACCCCTCCTCTTAAGGGTGCTCCAGCCCTTCCTTGTTCCCTCCCATTGTCTGCACCTGTTCCCTTTTCCCGCTCACCCTTAAAAGCCAGACGTGGACCTCACTCCTGGTTCCTCATTGATTTCCGCATCGTGAGAGCCCGGGGTCCTGCTGCGTCTGGCTCCATTATGGTTTTAACTTTCTGTTCCTGATCCCCTGCCCCGCCGGTCCCGACCCGGCTCATGGTTTTAACCCCTGGATGGATCTCCTGGCTTTGAACTCTACTCTCCCGTTTGGATTCCTTGTTTGGACTTTTGCTGGACTCACTTCCCCAGGACACCAGCTCACCTTGGACACGCCCCCCTGTATCCTGATCCTTTCCTGCATGTCTTTCTCCCTCGTGTATCTTTACTATTCCGGATCGCTTCGTCAGCATAGGGCCCGGAAGGAACTGCTACGTGACAAGAATGAAGCATTCCTTTCAAACGAAGCAGCCTGACAGGGAGGAAAGTGGTTAAGGGTGCCTCTGTGAGGCCCATGATGACTTTGAAAGAGTTACAGAGTTCAGTGACTGAGATAGGAGAATAACAATGGGACAACAATCACAGTCACTCCATGAAGTTGGCCTGTGTGGAACTGAACAGTAAAACTTCTCAAATCCCACAAGGAGACTGTAATACTGAAAAAACGTGGCAGAAAGTTTTGTGATCAGACAGCTGACTAAAAAGTGTAAATACATGGTCTAAATGCAAAAAATTAAATCTAACACAAACACAAGATAGTGCATCACTTAGTCAAGACCATCTTTTTTGTCAAGCACAGTGATGACAGTGATGATTATGCTACAATTCTGCTCCTCATTGGCAGAGACTGGGAAGCATCTCAAGACGTAGATGGAGCAAAGTACAGGCAAATCGTAGAGGAAAACCAGCTTCAGACCTAAACCTCTGTCAAAAAACACCTTTCAGCAGGTTAATGTTCCAAAGCATAAGGGCAATGCTACACTGGAGTGGCTTAAGAATAACAAAACAAAAATAACATGAGTGACCCAGTCAGAGTTCTGCCTTGAATCCTATTGGTCCATAAGTGATACCCAAATCATTTTAGAAAGTTTGTGCAAATCTGCAAAGACAAATGGGTAGAAATTGTCCAAGCTGGTGTGCAAAGTTGGTAGAGACTAACCCAAAAAGACAGAGGTACTTTCACCAAATATGGAATCAACATTTTTCAGTGTTTTCTCTTTAGTTTCTTCTGACGTTTACTGTAACTTAGAAATATTTATCTTACTCTTTATTTAGTTTGAGCATTTTGGTTTTTAATAAAATATTGGGCCATAAAAATGAGTATGCATTATTTTGTAATTTCAGAAAAATAGAACACCATAGGATTGGTACTTTTGCAAGGTACTGTATCATATAATTTTATCATATAAACTGACTAAGAATCCTTTATTACTGAGGTAAAAAAATAGATGTTAGAGAATTCCTGTTTAATGTATTAGAAGTAATCCTTATGTTAGGGATTTGAATTTATTATGTTGTGTAAAGAGAGCAAGGGCAGTGTGTAGCTTTAAAATGTACATTTGAAATGGAACTTCATCATTTCTTATAAAATCAAAAATATTATTTGTGTTTTAAATCAGTACAATAATTCTGAAAGCATAATTGGAAACACTGAAAGAAAAGTTTCTTGATCATGGTTAGTACCTCTGTTACCTGTGTAAGGGTTTTGTGCATTTACTGGGACAATTATTAATTGTAGCAGTAAGTCACAAAATGATTCTTTGATGGCTATTTGAAAACCGATCTTTTAACTCTGCAACACACACACACGGATACTAATACACGACAATACATTTATTAATACATAAAATGTGCATATAAACATACCAGACCTTAAGAGTGAGGGTTAGCAGAATACAAAAGGTATATATTCAATAACGAAGAGTTACAAACCAAGAGAGACATACATTCAGTATACTATTCATTTATACCGTTTCGTAAATGAACTTTGATTACAACTTCTACACTAGATACTCAAAGGCAAGTACATCACTCATAAGAATTAAGTTGATATCAACTGGGTTGAGGTAACAATTGAATTCTCGAGCTGTAATGCAGAATGTTGAATACTCATCCATCCTGTGTGGATTCAGATCTCCAGCGGAAGATCTTTACAGGTAATGGGGACTCTCCTCCAATACCACCAATGTGCAGCATCCACCTGGATGATGTGACGGCAGCCATAGTGCACCATAATGCTCACTACACATCAGCTAGAACAGAGGAGAACAGAGTGATGAAGCCAATTCATAGATGGGGATTATTAGGAGGCCATGATTGGTAAGGGCCAATGGAAAATTTGACCGGGACACCAGGGTTACACCCCTACTCGTTTTGAGAAACACCCTGGGATTTTTAATATCCACAGTCAGGACCTCAGTTTTACATCTCATCCAAATTGCAGCTCACACGTGCTTAGCATCAGTGGGTTACCAATTGTGAGTTGCAGAGTGATATGACTGCTGGCATAAATTAAGTCTAACTGTGAAATGGATACATATTTAACCACGTGAGCCTCAAGACGATATTTCTTTATTCATTTAATAAAATACATTTATAATGAATACTAAAAAATACTTTAGTTATAATACTATTGCATAGGTGCAACGGACGGACTCGTTATCTTAAACGTTGCAATATACTGTATACCTTGATTTGATCAAATACCTGAGGAGAGCACAATATAATAAGAATAATTGTATTTGTCATTTGAAACGTTCTTCTGGTGCATTATCTAGATAAAAACAACGATTTTGGATACCAAATTTAGGTTTGAATGCCACCTGCTTCTTGCACCGAAATTCCAATTATGGGGGACTGCGTTTATAAATAACAGCTTTCAAACGACTCGATTTTTTTCTCATCTCCAGGCAGACACATCCCCGAGCCTCGTTATGGAGTACATAATTTTTTTGCACAAGATCTGCGTAACTACCCGATTGGGCAGGACCAGGGGTCGGAGAGTATGAGGGGCGGGCTGAGCACGACCCTGATATCCGACTCTCGGGCTCCTTTGTGCGGCTACTTACAGAAGCTTGGTTCGGAGGCGGAGAGTATTCTGGGTGTTGCTGCATTTCGTGAACTGTTTGCGGTCATAATTAAATGAGAGTGACAATACAGCTGTCAGACCTGATTTAATAGAGTACCTCGCATTCTTTTTAAGGTAAGATGCTACGCTTTAAGTAGAAATGAAAAAAAAAAAGTACTGTTTTTCATTTACCCGAAACAAAAGAGTGGATGTTGGGGTGTGTGAGAATGCTTGTGAGGGGGGATCAGATGTTGAGAGTGCTTTAATGTTGTCTCAGATAATCTGTTAATTTCCTATTTATCCCCGTATAAATAATTAATTCAGCCTTCACTAATTAAAGGAGAAATACGTAATGAATTGCTTATGTATTTTAATTCTCACCATATATGAAAATCTTGCGTTTGTCAGATCGTTGGGACTGTATGTCGGGGTTTTCTAACATAACCTAAAAAAAGAAATTTCTATGTATTGGTCAGATTTCCACTACTGTACCCTCCATAACATTGATAATGAATTAGTTGAAAGAGGCTTGGGCCCGTCTACTAGTTTATGGTTTAGAGTATATTGCTGTATAATGAATGATAATTAATATGTTGGTTTTTGCGTTAGGCAGAATATTACGCTATTTTAAACAGAAGATAATCTCACATACTCCCATAATACCTTGTAGGGATGCGTCGAGATGCTGTCCGTCACGTTAACAGTCAACAGAAACCTAAAACGAAATGTGTATTTTGGAGAAGCTTCGGATTACATGAATTGCGATATTAAATATTAAAGATTGGATATATCTGGTGATTTCAGTCACTTCACAGGAGGCGGGACAACAAGAAAGGATGCGGAAAGGTCCAGTGTGCAGTGGACCCAGGGGGGGAAGATAGGTTATGTAGAATGACTAGTTGTTAGGTAGAAGAGGAAGAGTTCCCAGTTCTATTTAATTTTTCTGCACTCTTGTTTCTGTAACTACGAAAGGATGAAAAACCTGAAGGGTTTTGAAAGTGGATCGTCTTAAAACTGCTGAACACTGACATACTTTAAAGTGTTTTTTGGAAAAATTGCACTTTCACAAAGATTATAATATAGTTGTTATAAGCTGCTCTAAACTATTTTGTTAAAATAATACCTTCTTAGCTTTTGACAGAAAATTGGTAATGTTTTTGTTTTCCAGAACATGGAAATGCTTCTCGTAGAATTGCAATACTGTTTGGAATTCCTCTGCATCTCTTTTGGGCATTCAAATTGATGAATCAAATTATGAGGATGGAAAGACGCAGAAGGGAAAGAAACACCCCCTATTTGTTTGTTGCTTAGGATTTTTGGTGCTAGTGAGTTTTTACTTGTCTTGCAGAACATTGTAAATCACTAAATATGTGAAATAGAAAATTAATTGATTACTTTAAATAACCTTGCATCTGTAGATATGAGAATATGAAGTAATATTTAAGTGGTCTTCTCCTTAAGATTCAAATTGTGTGCAAGACTGTGGATTGTAAAAGCTGAAATTAATTTAATAAGTTTTATTGCCTTTCAGTGTTGTGTGGAAAGGGCTCCTTATGAATGTCTCTTATTGTACATTGTGATACAGCATGTCTGTGAATGGGCCAGTAATCCAGTTGTGCAGCTGTGCACTTTGTGGTCTAGCAGGATGGAGCCTGCTGCTGTCCACTACACTGCTTGAGAAGTTGGAAAGGCCATGAGGGCAGACACGTCCCAGGGGGAGCTCAGCATGGAGCAAATGAGTCGTCGGGGTGCTGAGAGTCCCAGACTGGCCTCCCTGCGGAGATCGGAGGCCTCAGGGTCCCTTCCGGAGGAAGAGGATACTGGCACAGGGAGGAGGAAGAGGAGAAAGAAGGAGCCCCGGCCAGAATCCATCATTGTGTACCGTTCAGAGGTGGAGAAGGACGCAATGGAGGGCCAAGGAGGAGAGGAGAGGGCGGAGAAGAACTCAGAGGAGGGGGCAAAATTTCTTAGCACTCCTAGTGGAGAAGGTAAGAACAGTATTTTCCTGGAGCCTGTGGCTTGAGAACTACATGGAGGTGAGGAATATTCCCATTTAAGATGGCATACTTCAGCAACTCTTTGTAGCACTTATAATGCTTTTGGAAGAGTAATAAGGGAGGGCAGGTGGGAGCACCAGACTATGTTAATGCAGTAATGTCTTAGTAAAATATCTTTTATCTTTGGGAATGTTGGAGAGTATATGTAGATGTCATCATTTTGTTCATCCTAAACAGAGTAAATATAACTTTTGCTCACCCTCATATTTATTTGTCTTGTGTTTTTTGTATTTGTAAATTGCATTGCAATTGTTGAGAAGTTTATTCAAAATGGGCACCAACTATTGCAAACATTCCAATACTATTTCATTTTTTCCCTTTATTTCCTATCTGCAGACAACTCTTATAAAACGGTTCTTCCTGCCAAAAGTTTGAGTCATTACTGTACTTCACTACTGTTTGCCACTAATTGGTTCTCTTTCTATCTCACTTGCAAGCAGAACATTATGCCTGGCAGCTACACGATTTACCACAGATCTCTCAGAACTATTAGAATTCTTAATTAATTTCAGTCATATTCTCCTTTTTACCAAACATCGTCAATGGAACACCAATTTTAATGTTTTACATTATAGCCTTTTGCATTTCTAGATAGTTGGAGTTTGGATTTATTGATGAATTCCTGTTGTGATTTTGCTTATAGGCTGAATTGTAAATGGATACTTTTCTGTGTCTTGTATACATGCTTGTATTATTTTGAAGAACTAGCATGAACAAGTTCACAATATGTGCAGATGGGTGGAGAGAAAATAGTACTTGGCTTCTTTTCTGTTGGTTGACTTGGTAATTGTTACATACTGAAGAGGCAATAAAAGGCACATAGGTCATTACTATTTCTAACAGTAATTCTAATGACCTACCAGTTGAGAAATGGTCACTGGGTGGACATTAAAAGAATGCAACATCTTCACACCCAATGGTATTTCATTAAATCCATGCTGTTTATCAGAATTTAGAAACAACTGACCATTTTTTTCACATACCAAAATATCTGATATTCTTATATTCAGACAGAAAGTGAAGATTTATTGCATAATTTCCAGGTGAGCCATTAGTTTAACTTTCCATATAGATGAGGCTGAAGAAACTAGAACAAAACTTTGACAAAAGACTCCAGAAAATTCCCTCATCTAAAATATTTTGTTTTCTATGCACCCTCCGTGGGTATTTTTTCTGACACAATTTGTTAATAAAAATTAAAAGATATTTTTCTCATTTAGTACTTAGAAAACAGTAACACATTTATTTTTCTCTCTTCAATGTCATCTTTCTTATTTTTCTCCGAATTAAATGGAAAATATGTAACTACATGTAACCATATTGCTTGGTTGTGAAGACTTAGAAAAGCCGTGGTCTTTCTCAGTGTTACTACATATGAGAATGGCTTGAGAAGTTCCCAATCTACACAGAAGAGACTTACTGGAGTCTAAATGGCGATAAATGGTCTGCTCTGTCTCAACAGGAGGCTGGAGCGTGCCACCTGATAGCCGCTATGTCACTTTGACGGGCACCATCACCCGTGGGAAGAAGAAAGGTCAGATGGTGGACATCCATGTCACGCTGACTGAGAAGGAGCTTCAGGAGCTGGCCCGCTCCAAGGAGACTGCGAGGGGCGAAGGAGAGAATGAGGGTGGTCAGGGCTCCAAGCGCTCCTGTAGGGTGGGAGTTGGGCAAGGCCCTCACGTAGTACTGTGGAGCCTGTCCTGCGCCCCTGTGGTCTTTCTGCTATCCTTTGTCACTTCCTTTTACTATGGCACCATAACCTGGTACAACGTGTTCCTGGTCTACAATGAGGAGCGGACGTTCTGGCACAAGATCATTGTCTGCCCTTTTCTCATTATCTTCTACCCCATCCTCATCATGGTGGTTTCCCTGTCCTTGGGGCTTTACACAGCCATCACACAAGTGTCCTGGGCCTTTGGTGAGTGGTGGGTGGCTGTACGGGATCTAGAGAAGGGCTTCTGTGGATGGGCTTGTGGAAAGCTTGGCTTGGAGGACTGCTCCCCTTACAGCATTGTAGAATTGCTGGATTCAGACAATGTTTCAGGCAGCCTGCAGGGGAAGGTTCCTGCACAGGGTCTTCAGACCTCTTCTGTATGATAGAGCTGAGCTTTGGAGCACAGCCTGAACATCTTCTGTTTTGTGTTCACAATGAACTGAGACCCAAGCCAAATAGCTGGCTTTCACTTTGAATGTCATCCCAGTTCTACTAGCACTCCACCAGGCTCTCAGGCTACCTGTATCACAGTTGAACTGAAAAGGGTGGTCTACCATCTTTATATGAATCAGACATTGTAACTGAAAGCAATTTCCAACTAACATTTTTCATCCACAAGCAGAATCCAAATGCATTTTAAGTTCACATCTCTGCTTGGAGTTGATTTGTGTGGTTATTGAAACATACATGGGAGAATTATGTCGATGAGAGAGAGTTGAAAGCCACAAGGTGGTGTCATGGAAGTGTTTCAGGGTACTAATGACTACATAGGTTGTTATATTTCAACCGGACATAGAAGCTGCATAGTCTTTTCCTAGTGATTTAACCTTGATTTTTAGCCTCTTAATTAAAAAGAATTACGGATGAAGTAGGCCTTTGATTCAGTTAACAATTTATGCCACACATCTCATTCTGTCTCACATTGACTGGCAATAAGGAGACATGGGCAAATGAGGAAGAAATCACAGTTACCAAATTTATATAGATTACTTTTTTGGTGCTGTGAAACTGAGTACTTGCATATTTCAGAATACAGATAAATTCCAATTAGAAAACAAAACTAATGTGAAAGTAGATGTTAATATACAGTATTTATATCTAGACTTTCAGCTAGGAAACTGAAGTGCTAGGAAAGATTTATTGGTTCTCTATCATAAGTAAAACATATCACTTTTAGTTTTTTTGTTGAAGATACCCTTTCACAATAACAATATTACCTTTGCTTTGAGTGTCTTGGAATGATACAATAATACCTGTTACAAGCTAACAATATTTAAAGAGTTGTAAAAATACAACAAATTGGTCATATTCAGAAACTTCTGTTTTAACATGAACTAAAATTATGTGTCATTACTCATTGTCACCTTAGCAAGGAGTGGTTGAACAGTTCTAGAGAAATTAGTAAAAAGCTTTATAAAGTAGTAAAAATACAGACACTTTGTTTTCATGATGAAAACACTAACGAGATCTCTTTTCAAACGGTTTTTCTCATATATATTGATGCCATTGAACTCTATCCTTCAGGAGCCTGGATAACATTTCAAATTTCATTAGGACTACTCTACATATTTAACACACTTGCAGATTGTAAATAACATGTTTTTGTATATATTGAAGGGGAAAATGCTTTTGAGAGCACATTCCTTGGGAGTTTTTTTCATGGAAGTTTTTTTACATTTTATGGACGTTATTTATTAATGTACGTTATAATGAAACTTTGAGTATTTTTTGGTTGCTTTCTCCATTGTGAAAGTCAATTAGTCGATTCCTGATGAGCTTCATAAGGAGTGAGTTCAAAGAGAGGCGTTTCATAATTTGTCCTGTGCTGTAGCACAACACAAGTAAAGAACAGGATTACAGCACAACTTATGTGAATGGAGGATATCCCTCTAATTTATGTGAATAAATGCAAATGCAACTGTACATTCACTTTACATAAGGGTCGCTTGAGGGTTGCACATTCTGACACAGTGGTCACTTGCACTTTGGTTTTTATAACCACAAATAATGGCACCTCTCACCCTAAAACCCCACCTACCATGTTATTTAAACCCAAAGCTTTTTTTCATAGTGTGTTGTGGTTTTAATTTTCCCTTTCTTTTTTTGATTCTGTTTGGTAAAATTCTTGTGTGGATATTATTTAATAAAATTGTTCCATTATAAGTCATTTTGATTGTCTGCTAAGGGCAGTGATTGATAAAGATGTTACCTTTTGTGAGATTTTTGTGTTCTATGTTTTTTATAAAAAGTGGACTTGTTTTCTTTTGAAGCCTGGATATTCCTTCCAATTTCACAAGATACACAGACTGAGCTGAGAGGCTGATCTTGGACCAGACCTTGATTACTATGTTGCACCAGATTTTAAGACTTGCTCGTGTGAGTTTCACTCCCCTCAGCCTGCTGTTAACGTACAGTGGGCCAATTTAATGTTTCACCTAGGAAGAGAGATAAGTTCTTTATCTTTAATGTAGTCACTGCACAAATGAGTGCCAGTATGGGACACCTGTGATTTATATGCTTGTCAGCAGTTGGTGTCTTGAAAGGTATGAAGTGAATTTGTTTTCCTAACCCCAGAAAACACCATTCCTTGCATTTTGTTCTTGATCAAAAGCTTTGGTGGATTGTTCCTCACAGTGCTTCAAGAATAAATGTTTGCTCACTTGACATTTTACAGACTCTCTTTGAAGTTGTATTTTCAGATAAATGTGCTTTCAAAGGAAAGAAAGGAAGTGGCCAAAAATAATAAATATATTAAATATTAAATCATATACTAAATCATTATATATATTAAATTATAGATTTAATATAAAATCTTTCAAATCTGTTTCCAAAATTTTGCTTTTACAACATTAAGAATTGAAGAATTTTAACTTAAAATCAGTTTTTAAGAATGAACTTGATTTTAGATTGGTTATTGTTTTAATACTTCAACTTTTAAATAGCTATTGAGATCAATCAGTATATGAATACAGTTGTTATAGTGAAATAAGACAAAGAAGTTCTGACATTTAAGTCATTCCTGGCTTTCGTTTGCTGGGTTAAGTCATATTAACTCAAAATCCTATATTTGGAGAGGTTATTCAAAAGGAAATAGGCGGCCTTGCAATGAAAGTGTGTTCAGGAGCTCTAGTAATTGTAGCTATTACAGTATATAGTAAAATTCCCCTGAGAGGAAACAGTTTACCAGGCATCATCTTCCAAAGCAATCTGATATGAGATATTTAAAATTAAGAGATAAATGGGGCCTTTCTTTTTTAATGCTAATAGGAGCTCTGATTATTGATCTTCAGTCCTCTGGAGAACTATGTTATCTTTCTAGGTACTTAAACTTAAAAATTCTGGAGAAGTTGGTATGAACAAACAATGATAAGTGTTGCTAGAAGTTCATGTTCATGCGTGAAGAGAGATATTCTTTTTCTCAGCACAAATTATTTCCAAATTACATCACCATTTGAATTCCAGACTGACTGACGATATTTGTTTTTACAGTATTTATCGTTTTCTCATTACTTCAATTTTATGTTACATCTCTTTTTTCCCCATTTAAATTTCAGGATCATAAATGAGGTGTTTGAAGTAAACAGAGTGAAAGGTTCCTTAATCAAAATGCGTTTGGAAAACCAGAGGCACTATAGGCCTGATATAAGGGGTTTGCCATCAAGCTATGACTGTATTGTGAAAGACATTATACAAACATTTTAAGCCTGAATTCACTTCCCATTATCAATTGGACTCATTTGAAAGATACCAAATAAGGCAGACTGGATTTGGTTTTTGGCTTCAAATAGTCACAAAAAATGATACCTATAATAAGCAAATTTGAAACTACAGTAGGTTTTCTATCGGTTTGGATAGTAGTATGTCAGAACCCCTCAGAAAGGTGTACCTCTGAAAGGAGGCTGTTTCCTCTTTTTTGAGGGGATACAGAAAACAGATTTATCCAATGAATATGCAATCAAGGAGTGGCAAAAGTGACTACTGCTCAAAATGAGCTGTATTGCATGTAAGATGGGAATCTCATGATAGGATTTCTGCATTATTAGTGAATAGTCTAACAAAGTACTGTTGTCACCCTGACAGGGATATATTTTAGATGAACAATTGTGCTCAGTGAGAAATTTAGAATGCAGGGAAACTGCAGTAATTCTTTACCTACCCCTTTTAAAAAGCATTTTGATCAGTTAATATTTGTACCATATACCATAATGAAACTGAAGAAATTTACAAAACCTGTCTCTTTCATTGTGTGTGTATACTCTTGATGCATTTTATTGCTCATATGACAATGCTGAATCTCAAGCTATCTTGCTTGGATAGTTGCGCCTTGACAACAACAGTGCAAATCTAGTGCAGTAAGATATTGTAGCGTCTATGCGATGCTTGGTATAGCAAATGTACTGTATTGTTTTCACTATGCACGGCTATGGTAAACTGCACACTGATTCAGTCTGCTTTTTAAACAGTGGAGGGCAGCCCATGCCCTGCCCAGTCTGTTCATTTGAACTTCTGTACTACAACGTGAGTGTAATTTTATTGATAAAAATGGGAAATAAAGCTATGTTTAAGCCCACAGTGATATTGTTTTTCTTCACCCTATTTGTAAATAGCACAAATATTTAATTCATGCAATAATCTTTCACTGAGAAGAGTATGAAGTGTCCACGATTTAGCCTATTCACAGTTTCTGCTTGTTCTCACACAGTTTCTGATGGAGCTGCACATCCCATTTTCATCCATAAATGATTCTTACTCAATCAATATGTTCATGCTTTTTTCAATTAAAACTTTATAACAACTTTCATAGCTAAATCCCTCAAAAAGCTTTACAGTGTTAAAAATATTAAAAGAAGGGAAGCATGGTGGTGTGGAGGGTAGCATTGCTGCCACACAGGTCTGGGGCCCTGGGTTGAATTCCAGGGGTGTTATCTGCATGGAACTTCTACAGTATGTTGCCCCTGTCTTCACAGAGGTTGTCAGGTGATCAGGTTTCCTACCACTGTTCAAAGACATACTGGAAGGTACATTGGCTGCTGGGAAATCTGGCCCTGGTGTGAGTGCTTGTGTGTCTGTGTTTGTAACTATGTACCTGTGGGTATATCCTACCTTGTGCCCATTGGTTTCCAGGCACCAGCTCCCCTGCCTCCACAAATTGGATTAGGTGGTTAGAAAATGAATGGACCAAAAATGAAAAGTGAAAATTAAACTAGTACTTAAAACTAATTAAGACTTAAGTAATTGAGAATATGTGAACAAATAACTAGTAAGCTTGGTTGAGGAATGCCAGAGTTTGAGTGCTTAACATAAAATTCCTGCCACTTTCTGTAGAAATGGGACACCTAACAAACTGGTTCAATTGTGAAATTACAGGGGTGAAGGAGAGCCGTAAAAAAAAAAAGAAAAAGATTGAACCTAACGACATGAGCAATAGAATTTACAGTCTGTTCTGAATCTCCCTGATATCCAGTGGAATTGGACTATTGTTTAGGTTGCAGGATTTAGCTTGTGTTTTAATAAAAGACAGACAAGGGTATTCTTGACAATACTGACGGAAGTACCAGACAGTACCGATGACAATGTTCTGACAATACCAATGGAAGGAACAGACAACCAAGCAAATCTAATTAACTTATCTGAGTGCTTGAAATGATCTCCCATCTGCACTGACAAAACAAAGTCACCACATTGACATTTCCAAACTCAATAAATTATTTCTAATACTTGTTGAAATCTTTGTCTGAATAATAATTGGTACTGTGTATATGAGACAAGAATGGTTTATTTTGGGCCTTGGAAGGCTGGTGTGTGTATGTATGTTTTCAACTCAACACTTAATGACCTGAACTAAATTATTCCTAAATTAAAATTAAGTAGTCCAATTTACCATTACCTCGCTCTTCGAGTGCTGCTGCATTAAATAGACCCAAGAAAACCTGCTGACGCCTCCTCTCTTGAAACAGGATTGTTGACTATTCAGCTGCAGTCTGCATCAATTTTAATTCACAGTTAATAAAGAGCAGACAGGTTCCGGAATAATTTGTCATCCAATTTTTATTTTTTAATTGTTTTTAAAATAAAAACAATGAATTGAGCAGCGAGGTCAAACAGTGACCGTAGATGCTACCCTTATATAATGATGTCAGATTCTACCTAGTCATGATATACTGTTCATTACTATATATCCAATCTTCTCGCTAGCCAATATATATCCACAGGCAAGTTAATATTTTTTGGCTTTGAAAAATAATTCCACAATCGGTATTGTAAACGTCATTGCAGTCCAGGCGGTCCTATTATCATGACGGACACTGTTGTACCCCGGATTCAAAACAGAAAGCACTCCAAAAAGTAAACATGGCGCGATCCAATAAGGTATGAAGTGAATGTCGACATTAGTTTAATTGGTTATATATATAGTTTCTTTTTGACAAAGACAAATAGCAACATTACTTTGCATTAGAATAGGTTTGAATTTGTTTTAAAATGAACGGGAATCATCAGTCTTTAACGTGCTAAGAAACTGGAAGCAGTGTGGGCTTAAAATGCACGAATTGGTTAATTTCTAATGGAACGATTTATATGAAGAATTTACTTAAGATACCGTGTAGTTCAATGCTGATTTAGAGGTTTATGACGATTATAGTAGTATACCGTCTTTTTTATCAGCTTTTAGCTCATCAGTGCTGAGTTTCGCTTTCATTGAAACAGCCTCCTTTGATGATCACTTTCGCTGTTTTTACTGAATCAAAGTTCAAAAGCTTCATGTAAACAAAAATATTACAAGTTTCGTACCCTTTTGACTTTGCAGATTACTGTATTTTAGGTTTATATGAATAGTATTTTCTGATTCGAAAATGTAGAACGACACGGTGGTGCAGTGGTTAGTGTTTAGTTGCTGTCTCGTTGCGTTGAGACTCTGGATTCAGTTCCAGACCTGGGGTCCTATCGGCGTGGAGTATGTAGGTTCTTATTTGCATGGGTTTCCTCTGGGTTCACCATTATATTTTTGGACTGTGGCACATTAATTGCCGTTTTGGAAAATTGTTCCTAGGTGTGAGTATGTTCGTGTTTGTGTCTGTGTATCTGCCCTGTGATGGTCTGGCATCCCATACAGAGTGTACCCTGCCTTGCAGCTATTGCTTGCCGGGATAGGGTTTGGCTCACCGGCGGCCATGAATTGAAAGAGGTGGTTAGAAAATTGATGGATAGATGTTACCAAACTTAGGCTATATTTTCCCCTCAAAAGTAACGAATTTCACATCTTACAGCCTTCCTTGCTGTAGCTGACGAGTCCCAACATGTAGGAATGTTTGCACCTGTTGACCTCGCCACCTCGTGGAACAAAACGGTATATCAAACGCTTCAGTTGTGGAGTTTAGTCTTCATGATCATGGTACTGTTGTAATAACCTATCTATGGGTTTGGCACCTCCTTTGAACACACTTAGATGAAGGTGATTTGGAATGTTTTAAAAATTGGACCTAACTTCTATGATTTCTTATTCCACTACAGGTTCAAACAACATCCATCCAAGTTCTATCTGCTTTTTTAATCAAGGGTTGTGGGGGAGCTGGAGCTATGTTTGCAAGCAACGGGTACAAGGCAGGGTACACCATGGACAGGACAACCAGTGCTTCTAACAACACATGTTATATTTTCATATAAAACTAAGTCTACTCTGTCCTCTCATATCTGTAGACAAAATAGATCAATTGAGAGTAGGTTATGTAATCTTCATCCAGTTTTTGATATTCATAACACAAGTTGGGACATGTGAGACAAAACGTACTGAAACAGTAGAAAGCTTAATGAGGTATAAACATTGTTGTATTTTTGGGAAAAATAATTAAAAAAGGAGATAAGGTAAGATTGTGTACAGCAGCTCTCATGTCATGGCAGCTAGTGCTTACTGAATTGTGTCTCTTCCTAATGTCTGTTGTTTTGTGAATATCTTTGTAGTCTGCTTTAGTGCTGTGTATGGATGTGGGGCTATCTATGAGTAATTCTGCCCCAGGACAAGAATCTCCTTTTGACCAAGCCAAGAAAGTCATTCAGAAGTTTGTACAGCGCCAGGTAAGCACTCTATATGTGTTACTCTAGGATTTGTTAGAGAGGAAGGACGCTTATGCATGAAGATGCTATGCAAAGCTCTTAATTTTATTTCGTTTTGGTCGAATGGTTCACAGCATAATATTATTGGCTGCATGACATCAGGGATTAAGCCCTTAATTTGGTATTTTTACTGATTCATTAAACATAATTTTTAATATTTAAGAACAGAATGTTTGAAAACCTAGTCAACAGGGATTTAGATTAATTTGATTTCATACAGTACCTTTTAAGATACAAGACAGATTGAAATGAAAATCAGAACTCATCATTTTAAAAAGAACTTTCAACCTTCTCTGTATAGTAGACCGTAGCTGACTAATGAAATATGTATTTGTCTATGGATTTTCATTGCGAGGGCTATTTTATGTGACATAGTATGTTTGTGCCTGTATCCTTTGCAGGTGTTTGCAGAGAATAAGGATGAACTGGCTCTGGTGCTGTTAGGAACAAACCAAACCAAAAATTCTCTGGCCTCTGATGGTCAGTATCAGAACATTTTTGTTCATCGACACCTCATGATTCCTGACTTCAACCTGCTAGAGGAGATTCAGAATGGAATTCATCCGGGGGACCAGCAGGCTGATTGTATCCTTAACACTGCCACTCTATTGTTCAACTAGTAGAACAGGCTGTAGGGGTGCAAAATTCTCAATAACATGGTGATCCTAGGTCTCCAGTATTTAGAAAAGTTAATGTAATCTTGTGTATAGCCTACTTCCCAATGACGGTGTCTGTATTTGGAGCAGGTACAGTAAAAAATCAAAATCTCTGAGACATTTTGGAGTTCCATTTAGTAAGTGTTTTTTACAATCTCATGCAAGCAGTGTGATTTATTCTTGTGTCTCTGCTGCAGTTCATTGATAATTAATCTTTTTGAAGAACAACATAATGCCCCTTGTGCAAGATCCTCTACTAGTGCCTTTCATTTTTCTCTAGAAATTTCTTTCATACAGTTTAGAAGACGTGCCTCTTGAGGGAAGGAAGGGAAAACAGCTAAAATAAGGCGGCAAAAATAAAATGACCTTATTCACTTAAATGCCTTGACATGCTTTTTTCCAGTTCTTGATGGCTTGATAGTTTGTATGGATCTCCTGCAGAAGGAAACACTGTAAGAGTGCTGGTTACATTCCAAATCTGTAATTAAAAATGACCCTTCCTTTATTTTATACTTTCTATATAAAGTTGTTTTCTTTCACACTGAAAGCACAAATTGAACAACACTGGTCTAACCAATAGGTTGTTCAATAAACGTAATAATCAGCAAATTACTTTTCTAGATTTACTGAAAAAGGCAGTTGTAAGTGAATATAACCTTTGACATCTTTCTGCTTTTCAATACACAGTGGGAAGAAGTATGAGAGGCTGAACATTGTAATGCTTACAGACCTTTATAGCCCAGCTAGCTTGGACCAGCTGGACACCATCATAGAAAACTTAAAGAGAACTGGAATCACTTTGCAGTTCATGTATGTATATAATGCCCTTCTATCATTGCCCTACATGTGCTCTCTAATAGGCCAAAACTATTCTTTGTGTATTTTGTTATAATCTAAATTTCTCCTTCAATCAAGTGTTGCAGTTCTTCTGGTACATTTTCTCTGGTTTTGTACCGAATGTAGTGAAGAGATATTAACATTCTTTTCTATTATGTCAAGTACATTTTTACCAAAGGAAAACCATCCTTTTGTCTAAAACATCTTGCTGCTTCTTAGTAAATGTTTAAGACCCTCAAAAACTATAAAAGCTACTGGTGACTAAAAAAGTGATAACATGAAAAGTTGTTGTGTTACCAGTAAATTAGTATCTGGTAAACAGAAACATTATTTTAGAAAAAAGAAAAACTGCTAATTTGGTATGTTATGCAGACTGTCCTGTTTTGAGTGAAGTGTGATCACCCTGTTTGTAGTCTCTGTGTTGATTTTACTTTTAATGGCTTGAACATAGGTGGGCCGCTTGTATCTAAGACCCCTAGATTCTCCAGTGCTTTGATTTAGTTCCTTTGGCCTCACATATAAAGGTGCTTTTCCCTTTTGACTTTAAATGTAAGTTTACAGTCATTGGAGTTTTATGGTAAGGGAGTCGGTCGATTACAAAAAGAATACTAAGATCCCCACTTCTTCCCTCAGTTTGCCATTCTCTCTTGACTTGGAGGATGCGAGTAGAAGCAGTGGGGATGCAGGGGATCCCAGGTCTCCTCATTACTCTGGGAAAGGGTTGACACAGGAGCAGAGAGAAGGCGTGAAGATAGTGAGACAAATCATGACCTCTCTGGATGAGGAAGATGGTCTGGACGAGGTTCATATCTTCAGGTATGAAAAACACACCAGCCGTCTGGCAGTCACTGACATGTAATCTTGTAAATAAATGTTTTCGATTTCTCAAATTTATCATGTGCTCTGCAAAAATATGTATATACTAATTAATTCCAATGCTCATTGGTTGGGTTATTAATGCCTGTCAGTGTATGTTACTAAGAGTAACAGGTTTTCTAATGCATGAGGAGAAGGCAAGCAAGTAAATGGATTCTTAAGATCATATTGAAATTACATTCTTAAATGATTATAGCACTCAACATCGTTACCATTTTCTGATTTTGCAGAGGATCGTATCTGCTGTGAAAAGGAATAGTAGCGTGACTACTGAGATCAAGGAGATGTGTAAAAAGCTGTCTTACATCTTCCAATTCTTGTTTTAAGCATTTTCTGTGTTGACTGCATTTGTAATAAACTGTCTGGCCCCCAGAGTCGAAGGACTGCTAAATGGACAGTCAACTAAGCCTACACTTAAGACTTCCCTTTGACTTGGAAGGTGACCCATTGGTGACAAATCTGTTTCTGTTCCCTTACAGTGAGGCCATAGAGCATCTGTCTATCTTTAAAAAGATAGAAAGGAGGCCGATGGCTTGGCCCTGTCAACTCACTATTGGAAGCTCGATCTCCATCCGCATTGTGGGCTATAAGGCGGTGAGTTGCATGAGCCACAGTTTGTCACAGTCAAGAATTAAAGACTCACTGGACAAAAGGCTGGTATTATAGAGAAGTGTTTCTTTGTCAGGGTTTATTATGAACGTTATACTCCCATCAGCTTTGATCCAGGGAACTTCATGTTTTAAAAAAGTTTAAAGTCTGTCTGCTTTCACACAAGAGCAAGCCACTGAAACTGCACACAAAAACCAATGTTTGCCTTTTTGCAGTTTTATTGGCATATCATGTCATTTATAAATCAAAAACAGGAAAAATTATAAATGGAATTTTAATTCCATTTGGGGCAATTAATTTGCTGTCTACATAAGCTAGAGGAGATATGTTCTACCTTCTGCCTACCCTGTTAGGCACTGTGTAGACATTAAACGTAGAACTGTTTAAGTACTTTTTTTCACATCTGAAATGCAGTAATTGTGCTAACATAATTAAATCTTTGTGGATGTCAACTTGGACTTAAAAATCAATGCTTACATAACTGGCTTAGTTGTTTTATGAAGATTTCGGGTCACTGTTATTTATAAGTGCAGAAGTGTTGCCCTAGTTAAATGCTCTGCTTTATAAATGAGGTCATCATTGTAAATGTGAGATCTAGTTGACTTGCCTGGTTTTCTAATGGTTTATCTATTCTTAATATTAATGAGGAGTACGGAAGCTGAGTTGAAGACTGTGTATGATGGCAGGTGACCGAGGAGAAGATTAAGAAGAACTGGATGATGGTGGAGGCTCAGACACAAAAGAAAGATGACGTGAAGAGGGAGACTGTGTACTGCCTCAATGATGACCAAGAGACAGAAGTTGCCAAGGATGACACTATACAAGGTGGGACCCAGTGAGCTTCAGATTAACTGTAAAACTATATTGTTCTAAAGCAGTAATTAGTTCCTTCTTTCTGCCTTACACTAGCAGAGATAGAAAAACAGTAGGATCATTTTGAATTCTTTCTTCCTCAGTGTTTAAGTTTTGTAATATGTGTCCTGCATCATTTTTTTGCAGTGTTTAGGTATGCTGACCTCTAATTGGTCTGTTCCCTGTTCATTTTTATGAACATGTTTCACTCATTTATCGAAGAGAGCAGCTGTTTGTCATGCTTTGTGGGTGGGTTATCTATAAATCCATCATGACTAAAGATCTGAAGACAATAGGGGTTTAGACTAGTTAACTCAATGATTAGTTGATGATGTTAAGTGATCCACTGGAATGTGAAGTAAAAGAACCAGTGGCTAGAAGTGGTTTGCCCTAGGACTGGTTATTGCTGTTTTTGAGAGATTAGAAAAAATAATAATGTTTGTTGCAAGAGAGTGGCTTGGAGGTTTGTGCCTCACAAACAGTGTCCAGGGTTTGAATCCAGGCTGCACTGCATGAAGCTTACATTTGTTCATGTGGATTTCTCTGGGTAATCCAGTTTCCTCCCTTCTTTCAGGCTCAAGCAAATTAGGCTGCTCTAAATTGTCTCTTTCCAGTATGTTTGTTCCCAGTGTGATCAAGGGGTTTTATTCCCAACATAATCAGACTTTATTTGATTAGAATAGATGCAGGTCAGCATGAGGAGCCAAATGGCCCTCTCTAATTTGTAGCCTTTTTGATTTTTTTTTTTAGGTTGATATATTTTTCAGCTAATGATGAATTTCTCAGTTTATTGAGCTCTCCTTAATGGCATCATTGTGTCATTGTTATTTTTTAACTTTGGAATTTTTGTTTTTACACTCAAAACAAATTGGAATCTCTGCTGTTGCAACTCTTTGTTTTTTCTTTTTCTCTCCAAATGAGCGCATATGCTCATTAAAAGTTTGAGGAGCTCCTCTTTCAGGCATGTTGAAGATTTTTCCATTTATAGTGCTTTCATTTGTAAGGTCCCTAAAGTAACCTTCAAGATACTAGCCCTTAAGGTCCTTAGTGTGCCAGTGGTGATATTTCATGTATTACTTGTGACTCTTCAAAATAAAGTAGAAACTGTGTGGTGCCTTCCTCAAACTTCATGTGAAAGTTTCTCATACCCTTAATAATGGGATTTGTACAAGAGATCAAATCTTGTGTTATATATACCCTCTGACTCTCTCTGCAGGTTTTCGTTATGGGAGTGATATTGTTCCCTTTTCTAAGGTGGACCAAGAGCAAATGAAATACAAGTCTGATGGAAAGTGCTTTGCTGTGTTGGGGTTCACAAAGCAGAATCAGGTATCTGTTATCCCTAAGGATTTTTGAAAGAACTGTGGTACAGCTCGATTTGGGTTGGTGTGTAAGAGATAAGGTTGAATGGTTTGTTTTGTTTATTCAGTGAGATACTGTAAAAAACATCTCAACAGAGTTCCTGGATCAGTAAGTTGCTGGCTTTCATCCTGAAAATAGTTTGGTGTTTGTTTTGAAGGGTATAAAAACAAGGATATGCCATACCCCTTCCAGGTAGTTGTATTGTTTAATAATGTAGCATTGTAGTAAAGGATATCTAAAGCTATTTTTTCTGAACCCGATTTTAAAGACATAATATTCTTGTACCTAAATCAAGATGATTTTTGGATTGCTTTATTCTTTAACAAGCCAGCCAAGAAATAACTTAAAATCTGTTTTTTCCTGTGCATGGTCATCAAGTCTATAGCAGTCGGCATTGCCAGTCATATGTTTATGATTAATGCATATACATTTCCTGCCAGCTTTCAATTTTTTTCCTGTTAGTCCCAATAAACCACACTAAAACTCTTTATTTTCTTTCGTTATTTTCTCATGCAGTTCCAGCGTCACCTTTTCATGGGCAGTCAAGTCGTAAAGGTGTTTGCACCCAAGGGTGACGAGGTAAGAAAAGGGAGGTGGTTACTCTATGTGGTTATGAAACCTAATCCAGTAAATTGCGCAACTTAACTGAACTTTTTTCCTTGAATCATTTTTATATTGAAAAATTATCATTCAGAATTGTATGACCAAAATACCAGCAAAGAGTTGTTGAAAACTCAGGATTATTTTAAAGAAAGTAACCTGGTTGTCTGTTACTTTTTACAGTATGTGTGATTGGGCTGTGTCTCCTAGTCCCTGCATCTGTTTTCATGTTGGGATTTGTGCTGTCATGCTTGTGTGTCCTCAGCATGCTGCAGTAGCTCTCTCGGCCCTGATCCATGCTCTGGATGAGCTACAGATGGTGGCAGTGGTTCGTTATGCCTATGACAAGAGGGCAAACCCACAGGTTGGCGCAGCGTTCCCCTGCATTAAGGACAAGTATGAGGTGAGCAATCACTTCTGGTTCTTTCTTTACTTACTGCTGCCTGTAAGCTCCACTCGAACTGGGAAATGCAGTGTCTTCATGAACAAAGGAGGTTCCTCAGAAATCTTGGAAATTGCTAAATTGGCTAATCAAGCTGGTACTTTTTTACGTTTTTTAGTCTTCTGCTGTGAGTGGGGTATGTACATTTCTTTGTAGGAAATATGAAAATGGGAATTAATATTTGGTTAATACTGCTTTGGGGGTTATATGCAGAATGTAACTTACTCTTACACTTACAGATGCAGCCATTCAAATTGCGTGGTAAAAACTCGTACCATGCGAAATTATCTGCAGAATAGCGCGGAATACTGCAGTATATCATTGGCTGTCCAAAATAACCAACAGATGGTACTTGTGGTGCATTGGTTGTTAGTGAAACGATTGCTTCATTTAATCTCTTTACTGTGCTACTTTTAATCTCTTTAAATCTGCTTAATATTGAATATTAATATGGAATTTTACAACTAAAGGGAAATATTGGTAGCTGGGCATAAAAATAAGAGCATTAAGTCTTTGAAAGTCATAAGCGATATTAATTTAGGAATATAAATATATTAGCAAACTGTATATGGCTGGTAGTAATAGTTTAAATAAAAAATTCACAACAACATTTCACTTTCTTCATAAACATAAACATTTTAAGCATCAAAGTCTTTCACTTGGTCACTTACTGTGTTTATTTTGGAAAAGTTTTGGCATGCTCGTTCAATTTTAAGTTTATGTACTTTATAAAAAGGATATAGTAATAGGTTTATTCCATGCTGAAAAAAAGAAGAAAGAAAACACAACGTTTCGGCCGTGGAGCCATGGCCGAAACATTGTGTTTTCTTTCTTCTTTTTTTCCAGCATGGAATAAACCTATTACTTGTTCCTTTGCAGCCTACGCATGCTGACACAGCTACCCACCTGAACTACTTTATTAAAAGCTATGAATACTTGCGCTTGTTATCCCGGAAAAAAACAGCATACTTTTTAGAATCTGCTTAATAGGGAATATAATATGGAATCACGTATCTAAAGAAATTAATAATATTAATTTAAGGATCTAAATATATTTATATAGCTCAAAGTATTACCGTAGTCCACTTTCTTTGTAAACATCTGCATCAATATGACTGATTCATTTGTGATTACTTGGAAAACTTGCTTGCCCTTTTCAGCTATAGCCTAAGTTGCTGAGCAGTTTGTCAGCCTAATGGCTTCAGTGCGTGACTCGCATTCTGTGAGCTGGGGTTTGAATCCTGCTCACGGCATGAGTTCTCCTTTAAGAATTACGCATTTCTTTTAAAAATACTAAAATAGTAAATATTATGGACAAAATATTGAATTTTTTGGTATTTCTCAATATCGTAACGTGTTCAAAGTTAAATTAGATCAACAACATGAATAGGCAATCGTGTTAACTGTCAACATTGGGAGTAAGAAGCAGTTCAACCGGTTTCATTCAAGTCAATTCCAAATACCTTATTCATTGGTGGTGAGCGTTCTGGCGCACTATGGCTGCCGTCGCATCATCCAGGTGGATGCTGCACATTGGTAGCGTGGAGGGGAATCCCCATTACCTGTAAAGCGCTTTGAGTAGCATTTTCAGTAGCATGCCCTCTGTTGTGTTTGTCGCTCTTTAACATAATGCAGTCAGCAATCAAATTTCCTGTTGTTTCTAAACACTTGTTTTTCTGTACTGTAGTTTTAAAACTTGAACAAAGACATGCCACATGCAAACAGCACGATCCTGTATAGTTTTAAGGCCACTACAGTACAGCTTGTGGGAAATAAAATTATTTGTACTGTATCAAAGTCTAACTTGTTCACAGCACCCATTACAAACTCTGGGCGTTTCATTGCCTATTGCAACCGTATCGACTGCAGTGTAGTTAAAAGGAACATGTCAAAATGTTTCCAAAATAACCACAAGTGAAAAAGTTTAGTTGAGGGATTCAATAATAATAGACAAATTATATAAAAAATCCCAAGGTGTTTCATAAAATTATTGTTGCTGCTGCACTGCTGGGCTTCAAGCTTTGAGTTGCCTACATCTTCGACTAGCTTGCAGAGAAAGTCATATTTTTTATTTTATTTATTAGCACACTGAAAAACAGAACCCGTTGATTTGCTATTAGTTCTTGCTTTGTGCTCACTGTCTGCCCCTGAGGCTGGGACAGGAGATCACACACTGCTTTTTAATAGAATCGCATTAACTTGCTAATGCGTCTGTCACATTTCCTGGTGTATTGTCAATTGTCAGTGTTTTGGTATGTTTGATTCAGAGAAACTTTTCCCAGATATTTGCTCATCAGTACAGTACACTGAATAATGGGGACTCTCCATTATAAGCGTAAATATAAAGACCCAAAATAAACACACAGTAATAAATAACACTGACCTTTTTATTAAGTGATAGACAAAAAGCAGGGCAATGACTTTTTCTGCAAGCTAGTCGAAGAAGTAGGCGACTCAAAGCTCGAAGCCCAGTGGGTGCAGCAGCAGGAACAGCAATTAATAGGGTGTATTCTTATAATTATAGTCGAGAATAAAAAAACGGTATTAAGAAGACAGCTGAAACTTAAAAAGATGCGTTATTATAGTTCAGAGTCAATTGTTTTCTCTGGTTTTCATAACCTTCACTTTCTTATTAAAACAGCTACAGTACGAAAAATGACACAGAGCCTTCAAACCACAGGCATTTAAAAGATATCGATTTGTGAGAATTGTCACAGCTTTTATTTAAATGATATCCAGTACCTGGTTGCATATTTAGAAACCTTAGTTTTTAAATAAGGCGGATTATGCTACATATTTGTGCAGCCTTCTGAAGTCTCTCAAAAAACATAAAAATGTAACGTAATTGTAAATGTAACCTCTATGACTAAAGTGCCAAAGAGGAGTGGCTTAAGAATTCCTTAAGCCAGAGCCGAAAAATATAGAGACGAAAAAGTTTGGTGCCGTTTTCTCTGCTTTAAAGGTACTGTAACGCATATGGCCGACAGACACTGTGTAAGAGCCGGCTTACCAGAGTGGTGACGTCACCGCCCTTCCCTGTAATAGCAGGACCTCAGCCGCTAGGCTGGGTAGAGATCTCTCTTTAGCTCACCGGGCTGGGTCCCTGTTGAGTGATGCGGGAGTCCTGTGTTCGAGCCCCCAACGGTGCGGGGCTGACCTGATGCAGCAAGGGCGCCCGCCTGAACCCTGTTGCATTACTGTACCCTCCTCGTGGAAGAATTTTCACTTCGAACGTTTTTGCCCACCAACTAACACGCAGACACAAACTGAATAACACTACAGCATGTATTTGCAAGAATAGCGATTACAAACATTTTAAAAAACGTTAGATCACAGTAATACACTTGTATTAAAACTAACACTCTATGGGCACAACACTGCGACTTCATGGGGGAAATGTCACATAGCTAAATCACAGCTGGATACAATTTTATGTTGCTTCTTGAAACTGAATATCCAGACATATCAACGTATTTACTAAAATTATCTATCTCCGTAATCTCACTGTGCGACCCGGTGCTCACTCAGTTCTCACACTCGCATTATAATAAAAAACAAGAGCAAGGTGACTTTCTGCTTAAAGCTACAGAACAGACAGATGTTTAATTTTTCAAACAAAATTAGCTGTTTGTCAAAATCATCTACCTTGCAAGTAGTACACAACTTCTCAAAAGGTACATTTTGTCTCTCGTGCAAACTCGACAAAGGTTTATTTTTATAACGACACCCCATCCCCCGGGAGTCTCGCCTCCCGCTGTTCCACACACACCAATCACAGGAAGTCGGATACACAGATATACTGACACAGTAGCGCATGCGCCAATGAACGGCAGTGTGATGTATATTGTAGAAATATACTGTATATACAGTACGAGACCGTATGGTTTCAAAGCCACTACAACAATACAGTATTTGTGAAATATTTTCTTTATCCAAATTTAAAGTTAAATTACTCGTTGATGAAATTTATATTA